CCCCCCCCCCCCCCCGCCCCCTGCTTCAGATGTCCAAGCCATCTGTCTTCCTGGCTGGGTTAGGTACCTCCCCAGGGGGCTTAATCCCCAGCACCCCCAGGAAGCATCCTCTGTGTCTCCCTTGCACTGAACTACATACACCTGTTGTAATGATCTCTTCCCTTCCCTCTCCCCTGATGGATGGTTAGTTCTGTGAGGGCCAAGGACTTGTCTCGTTTGTCTCCATATCTCCAGCATCTGCATCCCTAGCAAAACGAAAATCATTGTTTGTCAGCTGAATTACATTTATTGCTTTGTGGGTGTTCAAGTCCACAGCAAAAGTTGTTTGAAGCTCCTGAGAGCGCTGGCCCAGGCCCAAGGATGATAGAAGGAAGCCAGTTAGGGAACTTCTCTGATTAACTAGCCGTTGGGGACATTCCAGTCATACCAACCGCTTTATTAAGTGAACCCAGAGAGGGGGCATATGGTGCAATACCCCCTCTGCTCCCAACGCAGAGATGGTGCCCAAGGCTTCTGTTGAAGCTGAATGAGCGTAACTCCAGTGTAAATGGAGTCTCACAGGACGATTGGTACTTGTTTGTTTTCATATGTCCATCTTTTGTGAACATTTTGTCAAGTCAACGTATATGCTTTTTGAAATCTTAACAAGGGATGTCTGGCTGGTAGGACTGAAAATGATTTATATTTTCTTTTTGGTACTGTTTCAGCTTTTTACATTAAGCAGGTACCCCTTTCCCATTAGGGGGATAAAAAGCTATTTTATCTCAGAATTCTTCAACATGATTTTTATATGATTCCTAGGTTTCCCTTTTCCTCTTATGTGGTCTTGGGCAAATCCCTTCCCCTGCTGGGACTCATTTTCCCCATCTGGGAATGAGATGGAGGTAGAGAGGGGCCAAGTGGGACCAGATCAGTGTTTTTCACACTGAGTTTCTGCAGAGCTCGGACCCCTCTCCCCTCCTCACTCAGAACCCCAGGTTTTATATGGTGGAGTTACAAGGAAGATTTTATTTGCCAGTGATCCCTGGCAAAACACACACACACACACACAAACAGAACAAAACAAAACAGAGTTGAAAGCCAGGGGACTAAAAAAAACCCTTTGAGAGAAAAAAAAAGTGATGCCCAGCATGGTGACTACAGTTAATACTACTGTATTGTATATTTAAGAGTTGCTGAGAGAGTAGATCTTAAAAATTCTCATCACAAGAAGAAAATTTGTAACTGAGCAGTAATGGATGTTAAGCTAGTCTTACTAGCTGATCATTTCACAATATATACAAATAGTGAATCACGTTGTACACCTGAAACTAATATAGAGTTACATGTTAATTATATCACAATAAAAGAAACTCTCTAAGGACACTCTAGCTCTGACATTTGGGGATTCTAATACTTGCCTTAGAAGGCAAAGCTTCTGTCACCTGATCCCACTCAGCCAGGGTCCCCTTAGCTGGCGGAGCCCTGATGGTATTTGCAGAGCCGCTGCTGTGGACTGAGGTCCTACTTACCCGGTGATGAGAGAGGACCTTCCTTTCCCTGAGACGGTGGACTAATATTGATCCCTCCGGCTTTAATGTTGCCGAACACAGTCATTAAGCCTGGTGTGGGTATTGAGAATCGCCACCTGGCTCCCTTCTTGTCCTCCTTTCTTGGTGATCGAGGGGAGCATAGCATCCTGGAATCCTGGCTTGGCATCCAACTAGACCCGGCTTAGAATCTCCGCTCTGCCAACTTCCTAGCCTTGGCACCTTCAGCAGATTACTTAACTCCTCTGAGGCTAGTTTCCCCAAGTTTCCTTTCCATGAGATGGGCCTAATTGTCCCTGTCACACACAGGGCTGTTGTGAACTGAGATTATGTATAAAGAACCCTTGATGCCCCTGCCGACACAGGATGGGCAAGGCGCTCTTTGAGAAGGGCACTCAGATGGCGGCTGCGTGGTCTGTGCTTCTGCCTTCCTTCTTTCTGCGAGGTGGAGAGCTCATTGAGGGCAGAGATGTTAACCTTTGTCCAGAATGCTGGGCACAGAATGGGGTCACCAAATGTTTAATGTAAAATGAGCAGACGGATGTGGAGCACACAATGGAGATGGCAGCATTGGCCCCTCCAGGATACACGTGGCTGGAACAGAATGGCTAGGGCCCAGGGTAAGAGAGGCAGCCGTTCCACAGTCCGGTGCTTCCCACTGGGTTTGGAGGGCACAGAGGGGACATCTCAGTGTGACCTGACAACACCAACCTGTGTGGTAGTCCCCACACCTCACTTCCACCCGGAGCAGGACCAGCTCCATGATAGCTCTGCTGTGCACCTGCTGTGGGGCCTTGGGTGAGTCCCTGCCCGGCCTGGCCTCAAGTTGGTCCTGGGGACAGCTAATGTCCTTTCCTGCAATTAAGACCAGTGACCTCGCTCCTCTGGGCCTGTAGGGGAGGCTGCTGGAGAGCATTAGGGGCCATGACTTCCACTGCCCTAAGCCCCCTGTAATGCAGATTCCCTTCTCTTTCAGATGCATTTCATTTTCTCCAATGAGGTGGTGCTTCTGTTTGATTTTTGGAATGTCCACAGTCCTGCAGGTAAGAATTGAGAAGCCCAGGCTTGTAGCTTGGAAAGCCTGGTAGCTCTAGGCAGTGGACAGCCTGGGTTCTCTTTACGCTCTGTGGACGTTTAAGTGGGCTCAAATGTAAGGGCCTGACTCCTCTTACATTACAACTGAGCAGGAACTTTGCATTTATAATTCCATTTGCAAGCACTGCTTTTCAGATCCCAAAAGGCACCGTTATCTCACTGTCACAAAGGCCCAGAGAGAGGCCAAGGATACAGCTTTTGCCTCTACTACAAGAGAAGGAACTGAAGCCCAGAGAGGGAAAGAGACTCATCCAGGGTCACACAGCGAGTAAACCTCAGAGCCAGAAGTAGATCGAGGTGTCTTGTCTCCTAGCACCTCCTTCATAGCATGCCCAGTGTCAGTTCAGAAACCCAGAGCAGCCGCTGCTGGTTGGGCTTTAGACGAGACACCAGTTTACAAGAGAAGGATAGGGCTTTGACTTGAAAAGGCAGAGCTGGGCCCGAATTCATGATGGAGTTCTGGTTCAGCTTCAATAACTGCATTTTAAAAGTAGAATGAAAGTGGCCCACATGCCCATCCTTGCAGGCGTCGATCAAATAAATCATGATCATGCCTTCAGCAGGTTACCATGCCGGGGATCCCAGTCTGTAGTATCCCTTCTCAAGGCTCTGAGTCGACTGTGCTCTGCCAGGCTGTCCCCCTCAAAGCCTCTCAGGCAGGTGCAGTCAGACAGTGGCTGGGACTGGAGTCCTCCTGAAGACCTCCTCATGTTCCAGTCGACCGCTCGCTGCTGGCTGTCAGCGAGGACCTCAGCGGAGGTTGTTGGCCGAAGCCCTCCGTGTGGCGTCTCCTATGGCCCCCTGGTTTCCTGTGGCAGGGCAGCTGGGTTGCAAGGAGCGAGTGTGTCAAGAGAACGAGGTGGAAGTGCATGGGATTTTTAAGACCCAGCCTTGGAAGTCACAGAGCCTCACTTCCACCTATATTGGGTGAGGAAGTCACAAAGGTCTTCTCAGCCTAAAGGGTGGGGGGCATGGACCCCACCACTTGATGGCAGGATGCTGACATTGTAAGCAGAGCACGTTGGCAGGGATAGGGTGAGGTGGCCGTCTTTGGAAAATAGACTATCACAGACACTATGAAACCCCAGAAATAAGGCAGATCTGTGTGAACTAAGGGGAACCTCTGTACAAGGTGTACTTGGATGGCGACGTCAGATGCAGAAGAATATGCACAGACAGGATGCTGTCGTTCAGACATAGGCTTATATTGACAGCGAGGATCCCTGGAAAGCTATGGAGGAAAATGCTCCAGGGAGACGACTGGGGTTTTAGGGACTGGGCTGGGAGGAAGACTAACCTTCCACTGTATACCCTTTTGCACCAGTTGAATTTGTACCATATGCATGTAATTACATGTAATTTTATATTTTAAATAAACTGCATCTTTTGTAGATGATTTCCTCCTGGGAGCCCAATAAAATAACTATAGCTGGACCATTTAGTATCCCTCCTCTTGTCTTGTAAAACCAAAGTAGCAATTAGCAGCTAATTTTACACAGCAGCCCTAGTAAGCACTTAATGTTTTCCATAAAATAACTTACTGGTTCCCCCCCCCCCCCACACTATTATACAAGCAATAAACACAGTAGAAACTTTGGGAAGTTAGGTGAGAAGAAAATAAAACTCTCTTATATCCTGGGGTGCCTGGGTGGCTCAGTCAGTTGAGTGTCTGACTCTTGATTTCGGCTCAGGTCATGATCCCAGGGTCATGAGATCGAGCCCCATGTCGGGCTCTGCACTGAGCATGGAGCCTGCTTGGGGTTCTCTCTCCCCCACTCCCTTTGCCCCTCCCCCGCTCATTCTCTCTAAAATAAATCTCTTATATCCTAATTTGCTAAGATGATTACGACTCCTTTGCTGAATCTCCTTTCTTCCAGACTTTTCTATGTACATACTCATAAACGGAACCTCACTGTACATGCTCTTCCCTTAACAAGAAGTCATGACAGGGGACGCCTGGATGGCTCAGCCTGTTGAGTGTCTGACTCGTGATTTCGGCTCAGGCGCTGATCTTGAGGTCGTGAGATAGAGTCCCACATTGTGCTCTGCGCTGGGCGCAGAGCCTGCTTGGGATTCACTCTCTGCCCCTCCCCTGCTTGTGCCTTCTCTCAAAAAAAGAAAAAAAAAAGCAGTCTTGACAGAGACTTGTGACCCCTGCAGGGGGAGCAGCTGGGGGCGGTGGCATGTGTCTTCTTCACCCTAGGACCCTACCTTTCCCAGAGGGCTTCTCTTCCTGACCTCAAAGCCATACCCCGATAGGCCAACCCTTCCAAGAAAGAGCTGGAGAGGGAAAGAGACAGTGAAGTTCTGAGCCCACGGCAGGGGGAGAAGATGCGAGAGAGGCAGATGGGATGGATTCAGAGGGAATGGGTGGAGGTGGTCTCCTGCCACCTACCCCAGGCCCCAGGGGAAGCTGCCAGAAGGCGACCACGGCTTGCCCAGCCCGGTCTCTGCAACTCGGCTTCGTTTGACAGGCATGGCCCTTTCCGTGCTGGTGGTCCTGTTCCTGGCCGTGTTGTACGAAAGCATCAAGGTTGGCAAAGCCAAGCTGCTCCACCAGGCTGTAGTGAGTGTGTCCGTCCTCTCCAGCCAGCAGCTCACTGAGGAGACAGACCAGGATTCTTCAGCCTCAGACTCGGCCCCGGTCAGCAGAGCCCGCCTCAGGTAACAGGCACAGTGTGCGGGGAACGGCAGAGTACTACTCACAGTCATCCTGAGAGAGAGGCTGGGCCCACAGGGCATTAGCCCCACTTCACAGAAAGCACATCGAGGCCCAAGGAACAAAACTTGCCGAAGTGCTTACCGTAAGTAGTGAGGACACCTGATGCCCAGGCCAGAGCTGTGAACAGCCACTTGGGAGGCTCAGACCTTCAGAACTCTGTGCAGGCCTCTGCCTAGCAATACGGGTGTCCACCCGGCCCCCCTCCAAATCTCAGCAGTTTCTTAGGTCACTAAGGTTTCCAAACCCAGGATGGAATCTGCAGCCGTCCCTACACAAGTAGTAAGAATTGCTGTCAGTGGTGGATCTATCTGGGTCAGGGAGCCCCCTCCTCCCTCCTCCCTCCTCCCCCTCCTCCCCATCCCGGTCTGATAAGGCAGTCCCGTAGGGTCCCAGTTCTGCCCTCTCTCCAGCTCCAGCCGTGCGTCAGGAGCCTGCCTGCTCCTTACACGGGCGTCTCTACTATACACACCCACCCTGCAAGGGAGGCGTTCTTATTCCTGTTTCCCTGATGAGGAAATTTCAGTTCAGAGAGGTTAAGTTATTTGTGTTAAGTGACAGAGCCAGGAGCTGATCTGCCACCAAAGCCCATGTTCTTTCCATTGTAGTATTGCCTCCCACAGTAGATTCAGAAGGAAAAAAAAAATCTGCTTTACTGATTGATGAGTTTGTATTATCCTTTATCAGACATGACAGAATACATGTCTCATTTTCCCTTTTGCCTAGGATGCCAGGAAGCTCAGAGCTAAATATAGTAAAGAAGTGATTATCCAAGGCTCCTTGTACAAGGCCCTGTCCCATCAGTGGTTTCTCATAGAGCTCTTTGAAAAGAAATCTCTTCTGGGTGAAGCATACAAATTACAAATAAGCTGGTCCTGTAACTCAGCTGCTTTCTACTTCCTGACACCAGCTCCTAGCTTCCAGCTCATTACCAACATTAACATGGCTCTCCTTTTCATCTAGGTGGTTTTTCTGTCACTTTGGCCAGTCGCTAATCCATGTCGTTCAGGTGGTCATAGGCTACTTCATGATGCTGGCTGTCATGTCCTACAACACCTGGATTTTCTTCGGCGTGATCCTTGGCTCTGCTGTAGGATACTACCTAGCCTACCCACTTCTCAGCATGGTTTAGCTGGTGAGGGCTCTGCGGGCACCGAGGGCTAGAGAGAGCTGGGGCCCCCTCTTCCAGACATTGAAATTCCAGCCCCATGTCTCCCGTTTCTTCTGATGGCGGTTCCTCTCCTCGCTCCCAGCTCTTGGAGACTTTCGGCTGAAGCCGGCACTTGCTGCCTGGAGTTCGGAGGCCACCGCAGCTACCTCTGTCCTCAGCCATCATGCACAGGGCCCGGGCACGGTCATTTTGTGCCTTAGTAAGGCTTCTGTGGCCTGAGGGAGAGTGGAGAGACCAGAACCTGGGGACAGGGTTGCTGAGCCCATGAGGACTTATTTCTGTGACTCAAAAATTAAGAATTTCCAAAGATCTTCAAGACAGGGAGATGGGTTCTGGGTGACGAAGGTCATGGAAGCTGTATACCTTCTGCTCTCGTGATTTGTGCCTTATGTAGAGGAGCATCTTCCACTGGCCTTCCTGACCTCTTCTGTCTGAGGGATAGAGACCACACTGGCTCCTTTTTCTCACCTTTCTGCCTTTGGGACACATAAAGTTTGTCCCCTGCTGTGGATCATGAGAACAAACTAAGATTTTTCATTTTCCCCACTGAACCCCTGGTTGGCAATTTTGCACATTAATACAAGACAAAATTTTTAATGAAATGACTTCATGTTATTCATGATGGACAGCAACTTCTGCTGGGAACTGTTTCTCTTTCTTGTGGGGAGAATGAGTGACAGCAGATTAAAGGCAGAGGAGCTGGACTTATCCTCTGGGTAGGGAGCTTCTCCCATCAGACAGCACTGTCTGCGGGAGGAAGACAGTCTAAGGGCTTGAGGTGTCTGGGGCACTTTCCATGGCTCCAATGCCTCCTTTGATCCGGATCCTTCTTTTAGCTGAACGGAGAACTGCACTGAATATTCAATACTTAACGTTCTCTATTTATTACTTCCTGCTCAGCCATAATCATCTGGTGGGGAAACATGATTTCATTCACTTGAAATACTGGGTAAGCCACGGGGGTTGCTGACCGAAGACGCGATAAGCAATCAAACCAAAGCATTACATTTGTAGACTTAGATGGAACTCTCCAGATAGTTCACGTTACAGAAAAAGGAAATAAGAGACCCAGGGAGGGAAAATCACTGCTGTATACTGTAATGTCTGCATTCAAGTACCTCACGGGCTAGATGAAAGACGGTCTTAAGCTTTGGGGATTAAAAAAGAAATATACATTTTAATAAATATATATATTTTAAACAACGTGTGACCATTCTTGTGTTTCTCCTCACTGAGACAGCAAGCACACGCCGCCCCCCCTCCCCCCCTTATAACTCAGCAGGAGCTGAGACTGAGTCTGTGCACCTGCTATGAAGACAACTCTGTGCTCAGGGAAGCCAGCCCTGAAACGCCATGCCCTCAGGCAGACACCCCACAACCTTAGCCGAGCCGACAGTCATTCTTATGCTCACACACCAAATACTGACCGGGGGCTGTGCCGTGAGAAAAACAACGCTTTGTCACACAGACTGCAAAGCACCTTCTCTCCCTAGGCCAGAAGCAAAAATACATCAAACCCCCCTCTTTAATTTACAGTGACAACAGCAACAGAAAGTATGTGCCGCCTTCAGTATTGACCAGCGCAACCTCCACGCCTCAGCAGGAAACTGGAAGGCTGTTCTGTGTCATGACGGATGGAAGGTTTCCAGTGTCCAGTGCGGTCTCGCTGATGCAGCCTCAACGTATCCAGTTATCCGTGCTGAGTGGCTAAGGCTCCCTCCCCTGGGCACTGCTGAGATGAGCACTTCCATGGGTGACCGGCAACCTCTTTGGTTTGATACAGCCTCTAAAGGTGTGTGGGGCCCGAACAGCACAGAGGGCTTTTAGAAAATCTATGCTCTAGAGAAGCTAGGTAGACTAAGCATGTGGACATTCTTCAGGGCCAAGTCACAAAAGGTAGCACCTTCACTAACCTGAATTTTTAAAAATTTAACAGACACCTAGCTTTGTACGTGCCAGTGTGCTAAGCACTTTACAGTATTAACTAATTTAACCTTCACAACAAGGTAGGAAATCTGTCCGTCTTAGAAAAGAGGAAGCTGGGGCGCCTGGGTGGCGCAGTCGGTTAAGCGTCCGACTTCAGCCAGGTCACGATCTCGCGGTCCGTGAGTTCGAGCCCCACGTCGGGCTCTGGGCTGATGGCTCAGAGCCTGGAGCCTGTTTCCGATTCTGTGTCTCCCTCTCTCTCTGCCCCTCCCCCGTTCATGCTCTGTCTCTCTCTGTCCCAAAAATAAATAAACGTTGAAAAAAAAAAAGAAAAGAGGAAGCTGAGCACTGTGAGTGGCAGAGCTAGGAGGCAGGGCCAGGCAGCCTGGCCCGAATCCGCTCATCCGCACAGATGAGGGGGAGGCTAAGAGAGTAACTGTCTAGGACCACATGATGCCCAGTGGCACGAGGCTGACTGTATGTAGACTGTGGGGACTGAAAAGTCCATGCTGTGTATTTTACCACAACAGTCCAGAGATTCTGTTCCAGGAGATCTGGGATGGGACCCAGGAGCCTGTATTTCTTAGAAGCACCACTGCCCTCTTCCCTCAACGCAGTGATGGTCGCCACCATGGTGGACCAGAGTCCGGGCTCTAGAATAGGCTGGCCAGGATCTGAATTCTCGTCCTCTTGCTTCATAGCTATGTGACCTTGGACAAATTAATTTACCTCGAAGCCTCAGTCTCTATAAAATGGGGTAACAGTGTCTTCTGCAAGGGCCATGGAGATGAGACAGTCTGTATAAAGCACTCAACAACAGAGCTGAGTCAGTGGTAGTTCTGTTGCCCAGCCCCACTTATGGCGGACAAGCTCACAAAAGATCCGTCTTCACAAAGGATGGTGTCAGGCCATGGGAATTCAGGAGCCTATCTTACAAACATTTTAAACCAGGGAACATTTTTGTTAAAATTATTCTTTTTGAAGACTGGTTGCATGGTCTTTGGAAGAAGTAAAATGACCACATATATTGTCTCACTACTCTTCTTGGCATTTGCCCTGGCCCTGAGTCCACAGGGAAAGGAAGCTGCTCTCAAAGAGAAGAATCAGGGATGCCTGGGTGGCTCAGTTGGTTAAGCATCTGATTCTTAAGTTTGGCTCAGGTCATGATGTCAGTCGTGAGATCGAGCCCCACACCGGGCTCTGCACTGAGTGTAGAGGCTACTTGGGATTCTTTCTCCCTCTCTCTCCACCCCGCCTTCCCTCCCCCTCTCAAAATAAATAAACTTAAAAAAGGGAGGGAGGAGAATCAGTCCCTCAGGTGCCATGATGAATGATAATGCAGCGTTTGGACCCTCCCACCTTCTGTCCACGGCTTCCTAGGGTGCAAGACTGAGTGTGCCAGATCAAGCGAACGAAATGACGGGTTTTCAGATAACCACGATGCCCCAAGCCTTCAATGGCTGGGACGAATGGGGACAGCAGAGTGGGGACATTCCTTGAAAGCCTGAGTTCCGGGGTACCCAGGGAGTATGTCATAATGCTTTTGTGCATGTTAACCAACCCAGGTCTGTTACAACTCTTACCCTGAGATTCCCAGAGAGGAGCACGGCCTGCCTTAGCACCAAATTCGATTTCTCCCCAAGAGCTTGTGTCAAGTTCCATTGCAGACATTTATTTGAGTTTTGTTAATTTCAAATATTCATTGACCTCTTGTATCAGACTTAAGGCAGAGAAAAGATACATGTCCCAGGACTGCAGGCAAGGCTGTTAACCGAACCGGGGTTTAGACAGTGTAATCCACCCTGGGTTCCACCAGGGAGACCTCACCCGAGGCGACAGGTTCTGTTGCTGGTGCACGGTTGAGCATCGGAGGCAGATCAGTCTGAGTTAGTGAAGAGACTAAAAAGCTCACAAGAGGACAGGACTCTTGTAGGTGACTGGCTGGAGGCTACCCACCAGCCTTTCCTCCCAACGGGACACTGAGGCAGGACCCCAACGTTGTGAAGACAGGCTCACGCTCCTCTCGGACCAGCCGGGCGGGGCGCTCAGAAGCTGGGGAACTCGGATATCTGCACCGCTGTCCTCAGAACGCTCACCTTCACCTCCCCCTGTGGCTCGTCTAGACCCAGGGCTGGCTGTGCAAAATCGCGCTTAGGGAAGGGGCGGTAGAGAAACCTTTGCACCGGTTTCCTGGGGCTTCATCCCAGCCAGTCAATGTCATCATCATCGTCATCATCTCCAAAAAGGGGTGTCGGGGGCGGGTGTCCCTTCAAGCTCTGCCAAAACAGGAAAGAGTAGTCAGTCCTCACTTGTCCCTGCACCAGACGGCCTTCCCGCCTGTGTGAGGGGAAGTGAACTGACACCCGTTCCCGGCTCCAGGTTGGAAAGGAGGGTGTTGGTTACGGTTTTACTGAAAGGACTAACCCCGAGGCCATCAAACCTGGGCTTCCAGAAAGAGCTGAGACAAGCAGGCAGAGAAGGGAGGCAATCTTCCAACACAGACACAAGAAGACCAACTTTGTTTGGCTAATTTGGTCATTTATTTGTGAAACACATGTATTGATTTGACAGGTTTCTTCTCATGCAGTGACTTACACATTTCGTGTGGGAAAAGCAGGGTCGATAGGGGAGAGATGGGAGCAGGAGGAAGAAAGAGAGAAGCAGAGCAGCCCTAAGGGGAGAGAGAAGATGCAGGAAGATGAAGGGAGGCTGGAAAGAATACAGCTCTATCTGAAAAAACATTGCTGTGGCCCATGGTGGCCTGTCTGGTTCTAGATGTGACCCCGCCATTTGAGAGAGAGTTGAGTTCAGCGGCTTGGCCACATTACCAAGTGGAGAAGCCAAGAGATGAAGAAAGCCCAGGAGCACAGGGCCACGGCCCCCGCATCCTTGGTCTCACTGGCCCTTCCCTCGCTTCCTCCACCCGGGTAGTAGGAAAAGGGGGATTAACGGGCTCTGGAGGAAGTTCCCTACTGTTCATGACTTGAGCTCCTGGCCTTTTCTTCTGGCTTGGTGGGGACCAGGTCCCATGGGGGAGGCAGGGATTGATGCTGGAGAAAGGCACGCACAGACCACCCCCTACTAAGATACTTTCTGCTCTGAGCTACCCTGGCCCAGGGTCAGTCTTCACAGGGCCGGCCAAACAGAAGGCAGCATGATGTGGTCAGGGGTGCCTGGGCTGATCCCATCTCCACCACCAACTAACAGACCTTGTGCCTCTCTCTGGGCATCAACTAGGTGATCTCTACGCTCTGGCAGTAGTGAATCAAAATGTGGCTCACTGCTTCTGTTCTATTCCGGCTCTCCATTTACCAGCGTGATAACCCTGAGCATGTTATTTAAACTTGCTGAGCCTCAGTCCTCTTTCCTACAGAACAGGATAAAAGTGCCTACCTCACTGGATTAGTAGCGGATTCAATGAGAATGTCTGTGAGGTTTTCAGAGTACCCCGGAAATAGGAATTAACTTCATAGTATTCCTAGTAATACCAATAATATACTGCTAATTAAACACTCCAACTATATTTAGGGCAGCCACTTGGGATACTCAATTGGTTTTTCGTTCTTATTTTTAAGTGCAGAATTCATATGCAGAATTCCTGAATGGAAATGTAATTGTTGAAGGCTAACAGGAGGAAATGGTGCGTGTCCCGCAGGGGCACAGGCAGGAGGGAAAGGTTTTGGTCGATGCAAGCCAGCTCCTTGCTCTGCCACACCCCCTGGTTCTGGCCAAAGGCAAAGCCCACTCTGGCTGACATGTGAGGGGAGAAAATGTGCCCCCAGTCACCGCACGTTTCTGTCCTTGGGACAGTCTGAGCCTAAGGCTGGTGTGTGTTCTCCATCCACGCCTCCTCTAGTGACATTCCCATCAGAGCAGCTCAATGTCCTAGTGACAGCCTGGCGTTGCAGAGTGGGGACAGGCTGCACGGGCAAGCTGCTTCCGGCCGCCACCCTGGAGCTCTGTAGAGCGAGGCTGTTTTCTACCCTGGGTGTTGTGGTGACAAAACAAGACAGCAGCTTGGAAAGCAGGCTGGGGAAGCAGAAAGGCTCAGAAACAGGTGCCCAGTTCAGGAGGAGCCCAGCTCTGCCACTAATTCCCTCGGTGGCTTTAGGTAAACCACCTTTTGGAGCCTCAGTTTCTCTATGAATAAGGATGCAAGACGAGACCTTCCAAGTCCCTTCAGGTTGTATAATGCACATGGTCTCTGAGCAGACCTGAGGGAACCTGAGGCTGTAGCGTTTTAAGGCAGGACTGAGCAGCGCAACTTCCTTCACTGACAGTAGAAACCATTCCCACATGGACGGAGATCGTGATCCTTTTTCAGGAGTAAAGTGGTATCTGCCCATCCCCCCTCTGCTTACAGAGCTGCCCCCGCCCAGCCCCAAGCCTGCTCCCACAGGGCGCTGCACACAGAGCCCAGGGCGTGGGCCACCCACAGACTCCGGTCCTCTTCTCAGGGCCAGCGGGGAAGGGCCCCCAGGTAGTGGCGGGAGGACTCGGCAGTGTCTGGGATTTCCTTACCACCTCATCTTCATCCTCCTCGTCAGGCTGTGCTTTGGGCCTTGAAACTTTCAGAGTTGCCCCTTTAAACAGTTCATCTTCTTCATCCCCAGAGAGACTGAAGGAAAAATCAAGAAAATCAAGTCACAGACAATGTTGCTGTTCCTGTTCCAGCCCACGGCGCCCACACGAGGAAAGAATTCAACAGCTGTGATGACCACCCAGGAACTCCTCCCGCCTCCATGCTAGCCTCTGGCACTCCTGACTCCCTTCATAACCTACAGCCAGCGTGATCTTTTAAAACGAATATATCAGGCCGTGTCACTTTTTTGCTTAAATCCCTTTAGTAGCTTTTCATGGTACTTAAAGTCCAAACTTCTAAGAGTGATACAAAATCTCACATGACTCGGTCCCTACTTTATTCTCCAATCTCAGGTTAACACCACTCTCCTACTTACCATGCCTTCTTTAGTTCCTTGTGTCATGTCCCTTTCTAGCACAGGGCCCTTGCACGTGCGGTTCCTGCTTTCTGCAGTCTCTTCCTCCCACTCCTGGCATTGAAGGCTCCTTTCCATTCTTTAGGTCCCAGTTTAAAAATTGCATTCTCAGAATCCTTCCCTAACCTCTCTATCTAAAGTAGAATAATTCCCCCTTTATTCTCTATTATAATAATAGAGAATTTCTTTTTTTAAGCACTTATCATACTTTTATAATACATAAATATTTGTGTCTTCCCCACTAGACTATAAGCTCCTTAACTCAAGAACCAAATCTGCCTTGCCTACCACCCTATCACAGTGCCAACCACAGAGCCTCTCACATTACATGACTGAATAAGTGAATCAGACAGTCCACCTCTGAGGATGCGTTATCAGCCCTAGAAAAACCAGCGGCAACCTCCACATGCAGCCGCCTTGTTCTGGAAACTCTGCTGAGGCAGACATACCTGGTGTGCTGAGAACAGTGGTTGGGTCTGCCTGCTGCTCCAACAGCTGGAGAACCCGCCTCTGTGCCCCCTGGCTCCCTATAGGGAACAGCGGAGCTAGTGACATCCTCGTCTTTCTTGAGCTCTGGAGGCTGAGGCTCTTCTCCTGGACTTTCGGACCCCGAGGCTAGTGGGTCCCCCTTCAAGAGGTGTGAAGTCAGGGACAGTCTCGCAGTGCTTTCTGGCTCCTCAACACAGGGATTTTCCAATGCGCTGGCAAGTGTCTCCTCGCACTCAGAGTCCACAAGTACAGGGCCCGGAGGCATAGGGGGAACGGAAGTCGGAGGCCCCAGAGCTCTCTGGGAGGGGCCACAAGTCAGTTCAGGTGAGAGGGACCCCTCTTCTATCTCTGAGAGCGCCTCTGCTTCTGAGGGCTCCCCTTCCCTTCCCTGTACCTCTTCCTGGGGAGTGGAGAGGACCCGAGGAGGTGGGGGGACAGCCTCCTGGACTGCCTGCTCCGGTGACAGTGAGGGGGACCCCTGCATCTCCCCGCTCAGGGGCGCTGGAGGCGGTCCAGCACTGCCTGAGACTGAAGGTTGCCGAGGCCGCTCTTCTTTCTCCTCCTCCTCTTCTTCACTGCTGCTCTGTCCCTTGTCTTGCTCGTGTTGGTTTAACAGCTGAAGAGTCACCATCTGTTCAAAAGTCAAGGAGGAGGAGATGACCGCTAAGAGGAAAACAGCAGGCATTCCTATCACTTCCATCCCTGGTCCCTGTTTACACAACTACTCATGCAGCTCAAATGACTTTGCCTCTTCCTCTCACAGGAGGCTGCCCTTATGTATCCAGATAAAAGTCACTCCAATTATCCTAATTATTGATGAACAGTCTGGAATACCTTTGAAATTTATGATCCCTTGGAAGGTACTTAAGCAACAAGATACCCGCTTCAGTGAAAACAATCAACAGCCGGCCACACCTTGATGGTGTTCATGATGGTCCCCAGAACGGCCCTGCCATTGTAAGATTCCTCCAGCTCGAACTCTCCCCGCAAGGACTGGAACACCTGGTTCATGATCTTCTTGACCTGTGTGAAGACGTGAGGAGAGCGAAACAAAACTTGTATGCTGCCAGAATGGAGTGATCAAGGGACGCATGTCAGCTCTAGAGAGGCGTTTGGAGGGCTGAAATGAAGCCTCCTGGAACCAATCAGACAACACAGCTGGTCACGAACTGAGACGCCGAAGGCTGTCACTGTGGAGAACGATGTTAAATAAGGAACCATGTTGGATGGAAGGGCTACCAGGGACAGGCGAGCTGTGGCACGTGTGCCCACAACTGCTTAAATAGCATTTATTGCTGCTTCTTCCCACCATGGCCACCACTGGAGCTGCCGTGGGCTATGAGGATTAGTGGTACCAGATGCTGGGCACGCTCCTCACTCTTGTGAATTAGAGGCACTTCCCTTATCTGTCAAAACCTCAGGATAGGGCCCTCTGGGCTTTGCCACCAAAGTGACAGGCTCCAAGGGGTTAATTTTTACTTAAGTCAAACAAGTGATCTATCACTAAAGGCAGAAAATAAAGCTATCAACACAACACATTGGCCACATTCTTTCTGAATACCTGCTACGCTCATCAATCCCCTGATACGACCTGGGCTGCTTCTTCGAAATACTCACCTTCTCTGAGGGGTCAGTGGCAGCAGCTGCAACCCCAGACATGTGGGACTTGTTCTCCAGGTCTTTGGTGTGCTGTTCATTTTGCTCTGTCAGGGCTGTGACCTGGGCCTGGAGGGCTAGACACTGCAAAACAACCAGACCGTGGCCATGGCCTCGGGAGCCTGCACTGCCAGATCCAAGTCAGGACACCCAGGAGGACCAGAACCATCCTAAGCATCAGTGTTAACCTCAGGAAGGTCTGCTGGTGTCCATACGCCCCGCCCACCCCAGGCCTGCTGACTCAGGGCATTCTGTTTCCTCATCACTCAGCCTCAACTAACAATTTCGTCTCTGCTTCCCCAGTAAGGCCACTCGCACTGTTCTAACCAGGTCAAGAGCATGATGAGAAAAGCGGGATGTAAGTCCAGGGACACAGACATATAAACACCAGTCATTAGAAGCAGCCTATTCACCTGCAAGACTGCCTTCATCACCTGTGGGTCCAAGATTTTCAACTAGATACTGTAAGGGTGGACAATGACCTCCAGACGTGGGGACTTTCATACCAAGACCCTAAACCATCTTCTAGCTCTGTCATTTTCATGCCAATGAGTCTACCATACCCACGCCCCATCCCATCTGTGTGCTTCCGCCCAGGGTGTTCTGCCGCCTTCTTCACCTTCTCGAGGCCACTTGCCCTTCTTGGCTCTGCTCCCTTAGGCACTTCCTCTTCTGCGCCTCACAGCACTCAGTGCTGATCTGTGTCTCTCTGTCTCCCTTTCTTGACTGTGAGATTCTCGAGGGCAGAGTTCTTTGTAAGCCCTTTCCCTAACGGTATCTGGAGTCCAACTGGCAGTCAATAAAGATTTGCGTCATAAATGATCAAATAATGGAATTAAACACCTTCCAGAACACTAGCGCTGCCTTTTCTCTCTCGAGGTCACAGACCTGTCATCCCAAATCAGTAAGACTACTGACAGACCGGAGAATTGAGCAAGTGTGGTTTGGTTTTGGTTTTCGAGCTGGTAACATCTTTTAGGTTCAAAAGAATTTACGAGACTCTACGTGTTCACCTCACATTAACTGTGCTAAGCCGTCTGGCCCAGGAGAAACACCTACCTTTTCCTGAAGGCGGAGCAGCTCCTGCTGGCTGGCGTCTCTCTGCGCACACACTTCCTGGTACTGCAGCAGGTGTTCATCCTTGGCAGAGGCCAACAGGTGTTCACATTTTGCTTCCCACTGGGTCTGCAGCTCAGCCTGTACGAGTGACAGCTGCCAAGAGAATGGAATGACCGCATCCCGGGCGAGAGCCGTCACAGCCAGGGAAGCCCATCTTTCATCAGGCAAAAAGAATAAGCTAACGGCCCAGACTTCATAGGAACACAACCATTCGAAAGACCTTGATTACTTTCAAAGTAAATGTACTTTGTAAACGTAGGGACGCAGATGTCATTGGCTGTCGGGAGTTTAAAAACTACTCCAACCAGATAAAGGTGTGACTGCCCAGCAAGGTTGCGAGAGGACAGGACCGTGACGTGATCATACTTTTCAGAATCTGGGCCCTAAACCTTACAGGTTCAGAAGAAACAGTTTTGTCAAAGTTCCCAGAGGTGACCAAACTGAGGGCACCAATTCACTCAACAGTTAGACGCACAAATATGAATTTATGAACTTACAAGGAGAAAGGTCTCTGTCAAATGGACTAGAGACCCAGGTGTGCCCTGCCACTCTCCTGGGCTTCCCTGCCTGATTTACCCAAGTGAATCCCTTTTTTCCAAGGACGATCATGTACCTGAAGGCCTATTTCCAAGTGCGTCAGTTTCCCGTTACCTGCTCTGCAGCTGCTTGGTCTGTGGACACCCGAGCCTTTTTCAAGAGCTGCCGAAGTTTGTCCAGTTCCTCCTGGTAGGACTTACGGATTTCATCGATCTCCTCCTCGGCCCGACAGCGCTCTTGAGCAGACTTCTTTTTCCTTTCAGAGAGGTTCTTAGGAATAAGAGAACCATCGTCAGCTCTAGCTGTTTGACTGAGGATCAATGCAGAAGGTGGTGATATTGGTGGTAGCTTTGGACCCTGCTGGGTCCTTCTGGAAACAATTCAACGTTAAATTTAATTTTCCTTCTATATTTAACATTCTCAGCTATTGGACGAGAAAAATTGTGACAAGAAGAAAGGAAAACAAGAATGGTTTTATCTACAATTCTATTAAGAGATGGTAAATATCTTAACAGTGTAAGAGCACAGGGAAGTGGACACTTTCATACCTGCTAGCAGGAAAATAAATAGGTATTCTCTCTTTGGATGGCAATTTAGCAGTCCTGTGAAAGGAATTTCAAAATATACACACCCAGGAATCTCACAAATTACCATTTATCTTAAGGAAGCAATAAATCATGCCCACAAAAACTGTGTTACAAGGGTGGTCACTGTAGTGGTATCTGTAACAATGAAAAACTAAAACAGCCCCCCCAAAAATCAGAAGGAATTAGGTTAAAAAAAAACAAACTGATAAATGATAAAATCAGAAGAAACTGAAAATGAAAACCAAGATTTATCCCCTAAAAAGGAACCAGGCCACAAAGCCCTTACTAAAGAGTTTCATAGAAATGTCAGAAAGTTTGTTCTTTTCATATTTAAACTGTTCCAGAACAGAGGAAAAAACCAGGAATGTTCCCATTTTGTTCAATGGGGCTAGTTTAGGCTGACCTTAAAATTTTAACACAACAAAAGATACTACAAATACTAAATAATATTTGTAACATCTCTGAGTGACAAAGGATGAACACCCTCAGTAATGTTTATAAATCAAACTAATATTACAACAGGAAAAGAGAGCAAAGGCCATTAAAAAGAAAATTTACAGAAGAAATACAAATAGGTATTAAATATATGAAAGCTTTACTACTAACAAAAATACATGTTAAAACAAGACAGCATACTGCACCTATCAGACTATGAATATTAGAAAAATTGACATAAGCCGAGGTGGAAAGAATATAGAGAAACGGGCTTCCACAGTGCTGGAAATGTAAGCCAGCATACCCTTCTTTGAAAATAATCTGGCAGTGTGCATTTTAAAACTTTAGATGTGTAGCATTTCCTGTGATCTAGCAATTCTAATTCAAGCAATCAAGGTTATGGAAATGCTCAAATAAATTCACAAAAAATAACTATATAATACAAGGATGTCTACAGCAGCAATGCCTGAAATTGTGAAAAAACAGAAATATAAATATCCATCAACAGATGAATAAATTATGGTATAACCTCACAGTAGACTAGACTACTATGCTGTAGTTAAAAGGAATGAGAAAGTTCTCATTCTTAGTAGTACAATGTCCAGGATGTTAAAAAAAAAAAAAAAAAAAAAAAAGCATTAAGCATGATTATCTTATCGTAACAAAATGATCCGTGTACATATATGTATGTGTAAGTGCAGGTGTACATATGTTTTATACACACAGAAAACAACCTGCACAGATAATCATGCGTTGTTTACAGTTGTTATCTCTAACGCTTGAGATTGGAGAGGAAAACAAGATAAATTTTATTTTTGATTTTATACTTCTGTCTTATTTGTATTTGTTACAATGAACACATGCTACTGTTAATATTTAAAGGAAAATAAAAATGTTTATTAAAAGCTGATCCTGGCCACCTGGGTCCAACAGAGAAACTTTAGTTGTAGAACTCACCTTTTCCAGAGATTCCTTCTCAGCTCGAAGATCTGCCAGCTCCTCCTCCAGGGAGGTTACCTTGAGCTCCAGTTGTCTCCGGCTTTGCTTTTCACTTTTGAATTTGGACTGTGCTTGCTCAGAGGTTTCCTGGAGCTCTGGGATATAACGACAAAGAGACTACTAGCCGCACAACCAGGGGCATCCCAGCTGCTCCTCCAAACCGCACCCCAAGGTCTCCCAATTCAACCACGTGAGCGCCTTCCTCTCACTCCCTTTGGCACCAACTCACTGACCAGCAAAAGGTGTATCAGGTCACGAACCAACTCCCTCACCGACCCATGCTCATTTCTCTGCGTGTGTGTCACCTTCTCCACACACAAAATTGAAAGGAAACATTTGAGTAGTCCGAAACCACTGGCGACATGTATCACTGCCACAATCCTCTTTCAGTCATTGGCTCCACACGCTGAACTGATCTTTATTTAGCTTTAGTCCAGGCCCTGTCTCACCACCCGGTAAGATACTCCCAACCTTCTTGGTAGTTGGGACATTCTACCAAGAGTTTGCTTTTAAAGCATCAAACAGGGGGGTACCGGGGTGGCTCAGTCAGTTAAGCGATCGATTTTGGCTCAGGTCATGATCTCACAGTTGATGGGTTTGAGACCCGTATCAGACTCTGTGCTGACCGCCCAGAGCCTGGAGCCTGCTTCCGCCTGGATTCTGTTGTCTCCCTCTCTCTCTGCCCCTCACCCACTTGCAGACTGCCTCTCTCTCTCTTTCAAAAATAAATAAACATTAAAAAAAAAATCAAACAGGGGCGGCTGGGTGGCTCATTCAGTCTCTTGATTTCAGCTCAGGTCATGATCCTAGGGTCATGGATGGAGCCTTGTGTTGGGTTCTGTGCTAAGTGTGGAACCTGCTTAAGATTCTCTCTCTCTCTCTCTCTCTCTCTCTCTCTCTCTCTCTCCCTCCCTCCCTCCCTCCCTCTCTCTCCCCCCACCCTCCCGACCAGCTCACACTATCTCTCTCTTTAAAAAAAATAATAAAACATAAAACATCAAATAAATGCTCAAATAAAGCTATTGTAATATTTCTTAAAAAGGTAACACCTCAAAGTTACATTTGTTGGGAAAACTTTTGAGACCCTTATGGCACTTTAGAAGTAACCATCGTAGGGCATCACCAAAGCAGAAAAGAAGACACCTGTACAACATTCAAGTCTAAGACTGTCCCTCAGGTGCACCCGGGGGACACTCTAAAAGGGAAAGGGTGTATCTCCAAGGTATCACTCTAATGACTGACATCAGTGTTTTTAGCTCTTTTCAGGCAAGCAAACTTTGCTTCTTCCCAGTTCTGCTGCTGCTCCAGCTATGCCCCACCCCCGGTCCCATCTGTGCCTTCCCCATTTGTTCCTATACACCGAGGTGCATGAATCAGGTGCATGAAGCACTCTGGGCTTCCCAAATCTTCTATTCAAGGCCCCGTGTCTTGAGCAGCACCTTTGTGCCAGGCATTGAACTAACACGAACTTAGAGAAAAGGACTTAGCGAAGATGAGCAAGACACCATCCTTGTCCTCCAGAGGCTTGTATTCTAGGAGGGAACACGGACATGTAAATCGTGCTGATCTAAGGCTAACTCTGATAATGTCAGAATAACGTACTTAGAGGTAAAGGATTTTAAAGGAAATCAAATGTTGTGGAAAAAAAAACAGGAAAGTTTCTGAAAGAATGAATTTTGGAGAATTAGAGGCAAACATTGGTGACAGCAGACACACCAAGTCCAGGGAAGAGCATGGAGGAAAAACAAGACAAGAACCACAGGATGGGCTGAAGCTGCAGCAGGCTGGTTAGGATGTCCAGAGCCAAGATGAACTGAGCAACATAAGAGGAAGTAGGCCAAACTGGAGAGGCCTCGAGTGCCAGACTGAATGGCTGGAATCCACCCTCTAACAAGAAGGCAACCGCCACAGGAAGCATTTCTTCCTTAAACTTCCAATGAGTCACGAGTTAGAGGAACCCATTAACTCAAAGGCACTGAAGGCAACACTGGCCCAAACAAAGTAGAAGAGTGGCGGCTGGTCCATCCAGATGGGTAGTCCATTCTTTAGTTGTCCTTTATGTCAAGCAATCGTGTAGGTTGATACAGGCCTACTTTCATTTTTGCCTCAGTCCCTCCCAAGCAAACTTCATGAGCGTCATGACAAATGGATGGGGAGGAAGGACACGGTTAAATTCCTTTTTATAATAATAACAATAATAATAATTGTTATTATTATTAGTATTTATTAAGTAAACTCTACCCCCAGCGTGAGGCTTGATCTCACGACCCTGAGATCAAGAGTCACGTGCTGTTCTGAATGAGCCACCTAGGTGCCCCACACTTTCATTCCTGAAGTTTAAACGGCAAACGTCGCAGCCCCTCCACCAAGGACGCACCTGAGAGCTCTGCCTGCAGTTTGACGAGCTGGCCCTTGAGGAGGTCTGTCTCCTTCAAGCTTTCTGTCAGCTGCATCTGCAGCTCCGCTTCCTTCTTCTGGTG